TCCCTCAAGAAGGATAGTGCGGCTGGTGAGGACAAAGTAAAGTACCCGATGCTCAAACATCTGCCAAGAAATGCCAAAAGGATACTACTAAACTTCTTCAACACATCCTGGCTGGCAGGAGAGGTACCTAAAGAATGGCGGAAAGCCAACGTCATCCCTCTTCCAAAACCAGGTAAAGAGAGAACAAAGGCAGAGTCCTATCGACCAGTAAGTTTGACATCCACACTGTGCAAAACCTTGGAAACAATGGCTAACATACGACTACAGTTCTATCTGGAGAGCAACCGACTGATCGACGAAAATCAAAGTGGGTTCAGGAAAGGGCGTTCAACAACGGACCACTTGGTGAGACTACAGCAAGTCATGTCGCAGGCACTCCTCTCTGGGAACCTGTTATGTGTCGTGTTCGTAGATTTAACTAAGGCTTTCGATTTAGTCTGGCTAGATGGGCTGCTCTTCAAGTTAGGACGTATTGGTATAACGGGCATAATGTTTCGGTGGATCAAAAGCTTTCTGAGCGATAGAAAGATACAGGTGAATGTTGGCAGATTCTTGAGTGCCGAGCAAACATTAGAAAATGGCACGCCTCAGGGATCGGTTATCAGTCCCATTCTCTTCAATATCATGATCAACGACATACAGAAATCGTCCTACCTCGACGCCAAAACTGAGTTAGCTAAATTTGCTGATGACAGTACCATATGGAGGAAAGGGAGGAACTTCTGTGAACTACAAAAGAAAATGCAGAAGGCCTTAGACAAATTCATGGCATGGGCAAACGATTGGGGATTCAAAGTCTCGGAGAAGAAAACAGTCGGCATGCTTGTAAGCAGGGATAGAGGGACCAAACCAAGTTCCTTGGCGTAATCTTTGACCGAAGGCTGACCTGGAAACCGCACATCGACGAGACTGTAGATAGATGCACCAAAATCCTAAACTTAATGAGGAAAATAACGGGCAGCACTTGGGGGGCCAACAGTCACACTAATGATGGTGTATCGTGCTCTAATACGATCTGTATTAGACTACGGCTCTCTGGCCTTCATGAACTGCGCGCCATTACTCTTAAGGAAGCTTGACACCATCCAATACAAAGCTCTGTGTATTGCGACTGGCGTAGGGCAAGGGACTGGGAGAGAGGCACTACTGCAGGAAGTCGGGGAGTTGCCCCTATCCCTAAGAAGAAAAGAACTAGCGACAAGGTACTGGGCTAAGATCTCGCAACTGGGCGAAAGATCCCCTACTTTTGTCAGTCTACAAAAGACAAGATATGTAAGAGATCCTAGAAAGAAAAGCTTCGGCCAGGGTATCAGGGAAACAATCAAGAAACTGCGACTGGGGGAGCTCGTGATAAATGAACACGACCCCCCAGTAATCGCCCCTTTGACGCTCCCTATACCGCCGGTTAATCTAGATCTACTACAGAAAACCGACAAGGAAAACAACCCCACTGCTGCACGTGCTTTCTCTCTAGAACACCTGGAAGACAACTGGCCGTCAGATGACTGGGACCATGTGTACACGGATGGCTCACGCAATCCTGAAAGGGGCACCAGCTCGTTTGGAATATACCTGCCAAATGGGGAACCGGGAATAAGCAGGAAACTGCTCAATAACTGTTCGGTGTACACTGCAGAGCTTGTGGCCATTCGTGACGCTATATCATGGATTTCCCATCAAAAGACTAGTAAGTTCGTCATTCCAAGCGACTCTCTGAGCAGTCTGATTTCAATCCAAAATGACAACTCGGACTCAAGACCAGAAGTCATTTTGGAAATCAGGCAGCTGTACCAGAGGGTTTTAGAGAAGGGAAGCAAAGTAGAACTCGTGTGGATTCCATCACATGTCAACATTAGAGGAAACGAGGAGGCAGATCGACTCGCCAATGAAGGTCTCAAGGACACAGCACCACTCCGCACCATAGACTACAGCACCATGGAAATCGACAGTATGGTCAAAAGACACGTCAATTCAATCTGGGAATTAAATCTCGTTGAACTTGACACATACAGATTCCGGCTGGATGACAAGATCTACACAAAGACAACACTCAATCACCCTAGAAGAGATATTTGTAGACTTATATCGAAGCTAAGGGTGAAAGAGCGGCTGCGAGACTACAAACACCAAGTCATCATCTGTGAGTGCGGAGAAGAATGTACCGCCAACCATGTCCTGGTAGACTGCGAGGTATACGAGGAGGAGAGAAGGGAACTAGTGAGAACAATGGAGACCAACAACATACCATTCAACACTAAGAACCTACTCTTCCCGAGACCAGATCTGAAACTGCAAATCTTCGAACAAATCCACGCCCTAATGGACACAGTTGGACTAAGTAGAATAGTGAAGTAAGAGGGGGTCACGGTTAGACGGGCCCGGCATCTAAACACTAAACTACATAGGGGATTTATACCAAACTGGCAGGATAGTGGAGTAAGGGGGAGTCACGATCAGACGGACTCGGCATCTAAACACTGTTCCACCAAAAACAGACACCAAACCTACAGAATGGGATAGTGGAGTAAGGGGAGGTTATGATAAGACGGGCCTGGCACCTAAACACAAACCCCACAAAGATGACATCTACCAAACTAGCAAGAAAGTGGAGTAAGGGGGAGTTACGGTCAGACAAACTCGGCACCTAAACACTATTCTGCAAATAAAACTGATACCAAACCCAGAGAGTGGGATAGTGGAGTAAGGGGAGGCCACGATAAGACGGGCCTCCACCTAAACACTAAAACGATGACATCTACCAATCCAGAAGCAGACGTAATCATCTACCAAACGATATGTTTTATATTAAATAAAGGGAAGAACTTCCCACTAAACCAAATCCATGGCCTAAGGCCAAATGGAAAGATTGCAAAATCATATTCTAAAAAACAGGAATCAGCTTCGGCTCTCCTATGTCTTGTCTGCGATATCACTTATGTGGAAGCAGACGTTAAACACCAAGAACGAACGAAACCAGAAAATATATATTAGTTGAGGTGTGATTTACCAATAATGTATGCACCGTGTGACTTATTTGTCAGTATGTGAATTACTATTTGGATGGATAAAACTACACCCCGGTAAGACCAGAATTGATTTGTGCGCATTTTATCATTTTTCCGTAATATGAATGAATTTGTAATAGTCGATTGACGCAAGTATTAAAAATATGGAACATATTAATGAAGTAATAATGTATTGGTATCTTTAGGCATATTCTGTTCAGAAGAAGAATGAATAGTACCCAGGGTTTCCCGAAAAATGTGTTAATTCCTGTTCCGATTTCGAACTAGCCGTTAAATATTCGTGATTAATGTAAACATGCCAACGTAGTGACTGATCTATAAGATTACATGTCATTTCGGTCCCGCGTCATTTCAGACTTATGTCATTTCGGACTCCAAAAAATATGTCCTCAACATTTCGGACTCGGGTAGGTGACGTTTCGGGCTCGGTCAGGCGACTTTTCGTACTCGGACTGGCGACTTTTCGGACTCAATAAAATCTGAAAAATTCTATGTATAGTATAGTATATATTTGTAATAACTGTTTTTTCTTTCGTTTTAGGTGAGGCTGAAAACAGACCATTCATAATAATAAAGAAATTAAACATTGTTAGTTGTGTTTTATTTATCCCATACAGACCTTAAGCCTGTCGTACACGAGCAAATTTTCTTTGACAAATGGAGATTTGTCAAATAAATTTGCTCATGTACGAGAGGAAATTTGCCACATTTTCATTTGCCATATGAGATTTGACAAAAGCTGGCATGCATTTTTCGACGCAGGGGCAAATGTATTTGCTGGCTTCGTACACGGTCAAAGAAAATTTGAAGAGACCGTCAAAGAAATTTGTTCAATTTTCTTTGATCGTGTACGACCAACTTTACGCATGTTATTTATCCCATACAGACCATACATTAATCTCGGCTTTGTTTCACTAATCAACAAAAGGTAAGTAGCGGTGTTTTGGCGATCAATTATCGTAAATAATCTAAACTTACCCATCAAAATACAGATTAAATGCAATAATCACTGATCAGTTAAATAAAACAATAATATTAGTTTTACTTCAAGTTCAATTGCGTATGGTCTGTATGGGATAAATAAAACACAAAAGGCAAGTATTAATTTCTTTATTATTGTGATGGGCGCCGATCAGTTATAAGTAAAACAAAAGGCAAGTAATATTGGTTTTACTTCAAGTTCAATTGCATATGGTCTGTATGGGATAAATAAAACACAACTAACAATGTTTAATTTGTTTATTATTGTGAATGGTCTGTTTTTAGCCTCACCTAAAACGAAAGAAAAAACAGAGTTTTTCAGATTTTATTGTGTCCGAAACATCGCCAGTCCGAGTCCGAAACATCGGCAGTCCGAGTCCGAAAAGCCGCCTGACCGAGTCCGAAAAGTCGCAGAGTAAGTCCGAAAAGTCGCCTGACTGAGCCCGAAACGACGTTTGTGTTGAGTCCGAAATGACGCAGGACCGAAATGACGTGCTACCATCTATAATAATTAAAGTGTAACATGTATTTCACCTAAAATAAACGAGGAGAGGCATGTTTTAATTAAAACACCGAGTCACACCGTGTTTCCAACACCGAGGCAGTGCTATCGTGTCACTCGATATTCGCTCGGTGTTCACTCGGTAAATCACGGAATTCCACGATAAAAAACATGGTAAAAATCACCTTTTCTCATATTCAGTTCAAAATGGTGACCATCAGTTGACTGAAATCAAAATTCTGATTTCATAAATTTTTAGGCATTTCTTCCATGATTCAGAAAATGTAACTCCCATGTCTGTAAGTAAAATATTGCAAAAGCCTTAGTGATTTTTCACGTTTCAAGATGGTGGCACTTCCGGTTCAATCAACAGACTTCATATTTTGTGTACACATCAGTACTTTCTTAGCTGGTACAGAAATAAAAATTTCAAGGTAATCTGACCTATATTTCATTGATTTTTTTGAAAACTTTGATCCTTAATTTCAGCAAGGGGAGATAGTAAGAAAATTTCTAATGACATCTTTCAAATCGCATTGGTAAGATCTACCTGCATACTAAATTTCATGAAAATCGTCCCAACTATTAAAGAAGAAAAAATTAGTAAAATCGGTCAAAAAACCACAAAGTTAAAGATATGTTGGTTAATTTCTTAGTTCGTAAAGTTTAGTGCTTTCGGATTTGTAAAACGTTTTAAAAATATGTATAATCAAAAGCTACCACCCATTTTTGGGGGGGGTAGGTCCAAGTTTCTGAAAGATCCCATGGTTAGATTCTGTGAAATCCGATTTGCAGGAAAAAAAAATAACAGAAACAATAAGCTTTCATACTTAATAATTTTAACAAAAACAATAGTGTTTCACACAAGCTACGCAATGTGAAACCCTAACTAGAACTGCGATGCAGTAATGACGGGTTTCAATGGTGCCACATTACCATTGAACTTATGTCACTTCAGGTGCCACATTACCCGTGAACTCATTTCAATTCCGGTACCAATGAAACTTTTAAGGGAAGACGCTAGAACTTAGCAATTTGTGGAAATGTTTACAATCGTATTGATCCAATCTATATGTCACTTGGAATCAAATATCATAATTTTAAACGAATAATAATTATAACGCACTTAAAAAAAATATCGTTTTGAAGGCTAAAAATACAGTTTTTGCCAAAATGACAATACTTTCGGTGATAATGAAAATGTTAAATTAGTTCTACGAAATCAGAAATGGCATAAGGTATCACATGGTAAAAATTGTATAAAAATCAAATAATAATTGACACTTTTCTAGACCCAAAACCTTGAAAAGTGACTTGTAGTTTGTAGTAAGTCGTCTATTTCTCTGGAACCGTACAAGTTAGAAACCATTTTGCGATATCTAGGTGTTCGCATGGGTTCATTGAATGAACTTCATTCTCTTTGTTCATTGTAAGCAAATATATTAATTTTAAAAAAATTACAAATATGACTCAGATGAATAAAATATTTGTTTTAAAGGCTAAAAATAGAGTTTATGTCAAAATGACGCCATTTTTGATGATATTGAAAATGTGAAATTGGTTCCGTCCAGTCAAAGGTGTCATTAGGCATCACTTGGTGAAAAAAACTCGAAAAAATCTGACTATAATAATTAACTCCTTTACAGGCAAAATAACGTGGAAAGTGACTCGTGAAAAATTGTCTATTTCTTGGCATCTGCTAATATTACAAATTAGTTTTGACATACATAGTCTTCGTTTGGATTTTTGCTACAGGTTAATATGAAAGTTGTCAAGAAATATTTTAAAATATAAAAAGCCTGAATGCAATGTAAATAGCTCATATTTACACCTTTTCTTCACCTTTAAATCAAAATGGCGCAAATACAAAACCGAAATAAAAAAAACTATGCTGAAACAAGAAATATATCAAAATATGATGACGCTGGATGGGTTGTAAATAGCTTATTTTTACACCTTTTTTCACCTTTTAATCGAAAAGGCCCAAAAACGAAATCAAAATTAAAAAAACTGAGTCCAATATTATATGCGCGTCTACAGGGCGCATCTGTACCGAAGTGGTACCGAACTGTCAAAATTGTAGGTTTTGTCGAAATTTACGTCGGTTCCAACAGGAAACTTTACTGGCAACAAAAAATTGACATCTTGAACAACGGAGCATATGAACTCTGTTTTATACAAATCGAACAATAAATAATTCATCTTCGAAGATTCATCGAGAATCAAAAATCAAAAGTAGCACAGCTATCTGCCATGTCTCTGGATATGTCAATATGCATCATATGTTAAAATCCAATGATTACTGTTAATACTACGGCATCTTTTTAAAAAACGACAACTTTGGTGATTTCGGACATTTCGCATTGTCACAGAACACCCGAAATAGCTTTAATCTCTAAGTCACACCCACTTTCCCAGTGAAACCGAAGAAATCGTATCGATCCGACATGTAGTTTCTGAGACAATCAAATTGGAAAAAAAAAAAATAATAATAACTAGATCTGCTACTGTCCCATGCAGATATGAAAGCTTTTATATTTATCATCACATGACATGGATTATATCAAGTATCTTAAAAGAAAAAAAGAACAAGAAAAAATAATTATCAAAATCGGTGAAAAACTCGCGAAGTTACAAGTCTAAATATAGTGAGAAACATTGCACCCAGGCAAAAAAATAATCTGAAAACTAAAGGGAAATAACTGAGACTTGGATTGCTGTAATCGGAATGACTTCCCGTTCCAGAAGTTTCAGATAAATGGATCAAGCCATTTAAAAATGTGACGGATGAGAAAATGAAATAAAAATAGCGGGAAAGAACTAAAAAAAAAAGGCAGGAAAATATAGAAACTTAAACAGAAGTAATATTTTTTGAATCAGATTGACCTCAGCTGTTCGAATATTATGGTTAAATTTGTACATTTTGAAAATTAAAGACATAAATTGTCCTGTAAACAACTTCGTCATCATGTAAAAGGTCAAAGGCGAAATTTGATATTTTGAAATTTTCAAACACTAAAAATTTGACCGTGATCCCGGGCTATCCTGAAATTAGGGCTGTACGATATTCTCGATATAGTCATTTATCGTGATATGGTATTTTCAGACCCAACTACGATATAATAATGTGGCCAAAAATCGTCGATATAGTGGTTTATCGAATATCGCCAAAAACTCCAAATATTGAAAAAAATTATCATAAAAATAGATAATAAATACACTACATGTATATACAGCAGTGGAAATTAGCCGACAGCAATAAACTATAATAAAGCTAATGTTTTGAGAATCGTTAAATGTTGAAAACACTTGCGCAGTGTCGCAGCCGGTTTTCACTGCATCGTGTATGCGTTACTTTTACTTTGTTTTTAGTCGACAATAAATTGTCAGTTGTTACAACATGTAAAGCTTAGGCCTACTAAAGTGGAAATTAGCCGACGGCAATAAACTATAATAAAGCTAATGTTTTGAGAATCGTTAAATGTTGAAAACACTTGCACAGTGTCGCAGCCGTTTTTCACTGCATCGTGTATGCGTTACTTTTACTTTGTTTTTAGTCGACAATAAATTGTCAGTTGTTACTACATGTAAAGCTTAGGCCTACTAAATGCCTGAAATGTCCCACTACCGTGGCTAATTACCAGGCTATAAATAGGTTGTCATATTTTTAAAAAACAAATATTTTTAGAAAACTCTACAAAACTTAATTTCCGAAAGCAAGAATAAAACGATCTATAAATAGATTACTGTCACTGTTAGGCCAGGAATACCGCAGCCAATCGAATGCTTGAATGGAAGATAGTCCGGATCATTTAGTAATTGAGCTAGAATGTTCAAACTTGGTGTATGTGTTTATTAGGTCAATGCCTTGATGGAGTTCGAAGATGAGCATTTTCCGCTTAGGGTAAGCAGAGATAAGCAATTTGATTGGTTGATGCTTTGGGACACGATAACTCTCTTCCTAATTGGGCTAGAATGTTCAAACTTGGTGTATGTGTTGATTAGGCTAATGCCTTGATGGAGTTCGAAGATGAGCATTTTCCGCTTAGGGTAAGCAGAGATAAGCAATTTGATTGGTTGATGCTTTGGGACACGATAACTTTTAATTGAGCTAGAATGTTCAAACTTGGTGTATGTGTTTATTAGGTCAATGCCTTGATGGAGTTCGAAGATGAGCATTTTCCGCTTAGGGTAAGCAGAGATAAGCAATTTGATTGGTTGATACTTTGGGGCACGATAACTCTCTTCCTAATTGAGCTAGAATGTTCAAACTTGGTGTATGTGTTGATTAGGTCAATGCCTTGATGGAGTTCGAAGATGAGCATTTTCCGCTTAGGGTAAGCAGAGATAAGCAATTTGATTGGTTGATGCTTTGGGACACAATAACTTTAGTTCTAATTAAGTGAGATTGATGAAACTTGGTGTATAGTTTCATTACAGTAATACCTTGACTAAGTTTGATAATGAGCATTTTCTGCTCAGGGTAAGCAGAGCGATACGCAATTTGATTGGTCGAGACTTTGGAAAACAATAACTCTCCTACTTTGATTGTCCCCCGCCTTTCGAAGAAAGCAGGGAAGTATTAAAATGGGTTCGTCCGTCTGTCTGTTTGTCTGTCTGTCCGTTCCGCTTATTTGTGATAAATTTATATGTGTCCTCTAATTATTTTCCTATTTCGGCGGGGGACATCAGCCTCACTGTTGGCTTGTTTTTTTTGTAAGTCAAATAAATTTTAAAATGTTTCTAACGATAGTAAGTAGTAAGAAGCCTTTAATTTCATAAAATTGTAAAGTCACGTGGATCACGTGACTTTTGAGCATATAAAGATGAAAAACCGATGCAAGTTTGCTTAAACTGAACATGCACACGTAACTTGAACTGGAAAAACAAATTAAAATTGTTGTTTTCATCTTTGTTAGAAAATGCTGCGCCTTTCAAATGTAGAACGTCTGCATGCTATAGGTTGGCTCTATGCTGGTCAGTCTGTGGTCACTGTTGCAAGAGCCTTTAATTGTTCACGCCAGACAATAATTAATCTTAGAATGAGAGTGCTTCAAACTGGAACTATTGCCGACCGCCCAAGGGCGGGGGCGCCACGTGTGACGTCACTCCAGGAAGATCAAGCAATAAGATTACGTCATCTTAGAAACAAATTTGTCACTGCAACCTCCACAAGTAGAGAGATGTTTGGTGGAAGGGTAACTGCACAAACTGTTCGAAATCGCCCTCAGGCTGCTGGTCTTCGAGCTCAGAGGCCCTATAATGGACCAATATTGACACCTCGTCATCGCCGTAACAGACTTGTGTGGGCCACAAGACACATAAGATTTACTCAAAGACAGTGGAATTCAGTTGTCTTTAGTGACGAATCTCGATTCACTTTGAGATTTGCCGATGGCAGGGCCCGAGTGTACCGCAGACGAGGTGAAATAACGCTCAAGTATGCCTCAGACTCAGAGAAGTTGACCGATTTGGTGGTGGCAGCGTCATGGTTTGGGGTTCTTTTTGTGCACATGAACGCTCTCCTCTTGTTGTTGTCCAAGGGAACTTAAATGCTGTCCAGTACAGGGATCAGATTTTGCAACCTGTTCTTCTTCCGTTTATGCAGAGACATGGGCCTGGACTAACGTTTCAACAAGACAATGCTTGACCCCATACAGCAATTGCTACCCAGAATTTTTTAAGAAATGCTGGTGTCCCTGGATTGGCCGTCGCTTAGCCCTGACCTTAATCCTATTGAACACATCTGGGTCGAACTGGTTCGACGTGTTTGTCAGCAAGTGAAACCACCACTGACGTTGCAGGACCTTCAACATGCTCTTTCTGAGCAGTGGCGACGTCTTCCTCGGGTAGTGTTTACTAATGTTCTGAGATCCATGAGAAGATGTTGTGTGGCAGTACGAGACGCTAAAGGAGGCCACAACCGTTACTAAACACTTTATTCCGATTGTTCTCCAAGTCTGTGAATTTTATTTTGGGGGGTACTGTGACATCACGAACGTTATCAATGTCAAGGACTTTCGGCTAGACGTATTCTTGCTTTCTGTTGATGTCAAGGTCGTCTGTGCACAAGATAACACTAAGATAGTTGCCTTAAACCAAATATTAAAAATCTGGTCCCAAAAATCCCGAGTGTCAAGTTTTTAATTTGGCTGAGTTTTTATCATTGAAAAAAATGCCAATATTGATATTGTCTCTTTTTGCAATATCATACAGCCCTACCTGAAATGTATTAATTTCAGAAATAAGAGATGAATTGAACATATTACAGCCTATTGTGTTTATTTACATGCCCTTTAATGTAGATTTTTCACTATTTTTCATATTCACTTCAAATTGGTGACCATCAGTTGACCTAAATCAAATTTCTGCTCTAAACGTTTTTTTAGACATTCCTTCAAGAATTCAGAAAAAGTAACTCCCATGTCTGTAAGTATAATATCGATAGACTTCATAGGTCAAATAAATCATTTGAGAAATTAATGGCACACGTCACATTTCCAGAATTCATTGTTTAATTTATATTAAAAAGTATCAAATTATATCTTGTTTATTGTTTGTTTCATGACATTAGCTGCCACTGCAACCAGTATCCGAACCTTGTCCTAATTGTGTTAGATCAACCCACAGACTCAGTAATTTAGATTTAGGTCTAAAACGATTCTGTCTGAATATCTTTCCAAAACGTTTCCAAAGTGTTGGATCTATGTGAAACATTTTTACACCCAATAGTGATGAAAAAGCTCATCGAAAATTAGATTGAATGAATAGGCCTATATACCCATCCTTGATTTGTTAAAAACAATGTAGGCTCATGCCACAAGACAATTCATTGGCTGCCAACATTTTGGGCACTGGTCAATTTAGAGCATTATAACAATTTATTATATATCTGGTAACTTAGATTCCTTTATATTGCCAGACAGTCAAAATGGGTGAAACAGGTTATCTATACAAGAAATTACATGAAGATTTTATTGATGGTCACAATGGAACTACAATGTCAGAAGTTTCTACAATTGCTGCAGTATCAGTAATAGCTGTTTTACTCAGAGATAGTGTGATGATCGCTCTAAGTTTACAAACCTTGCAAGTCCGGTAAGAGTAATTCAAGTCAAGATGATGACAATTTTAAAAATAGGTTACTTTTTTGCAAAGACTCGGCTAATGAAGACAGGCATACACCATGTAGTGTGCCATGAGCGAATTTTTCCCGGACAGCGGCGCCGTGGCCAACTCTTACTTTGAATAGCAACTTATTTCGAATACAGCACCTTACACTAGAGGTTTCAGGTCACGTGACTTTAGCGTGAAATCGGACAGCCAGCGGCTGAAATATAGCCCACTTCAATCTGCGATTCTGAATTACTATTTTATGTTAATGTATAACTAGCAATTGCATTGTAATAGTTAATATCAGTCTCAATATCTGCAAAGATTCGGGCTCAAAAACTATCGAAATGTAAGCGAAATTACCGTTTATTTACAGGAGACGCTCGCGGGAAAATACCGCTCTGACGTCACACAGCCGGGGATTATCCATTGCTACGGCTCACTTCATTGGTGAATCCGCACGTTAGTTTCCGGGAGATTTTCATATAGAACCAATCAAACGGTAGATAACATTTTTATACGCCCACATTAAAATGTGGTCGTATTTTGTCGTCGCCCCCGTCCGTCGGTCCGTCCGTCTGTCCGTTCGTCCGTCCGTCGGTCCAGCGTCCACAATTGCTTGTGGACGCTCTAGAGGCTAATGTTAATATCCGATTGACTTTAAATTTATACACTCCTATGGCCGAATGGTTAGCACGTGCTCGCTGTATAAGGCCTGTCATTGAGTCATAAGGAGTAGGGTCGTCTGTCCAACCTCGTGGGTTTCCTCCGGTTTCCTCCCACTGCTAAAGACCCCTACGCGCAAGCGAATTATTGAAATAAAAAAATTAAACCATATGTTAGTCCTGAAATGACATAGTTTGTGTCGAGTGGACGTTAAACCCCATTTCTCTCTTTTCATACACAGATATATCAATTAGGCTCTCTATAGAAGGAGTTCCCCAAAAAATATTAGATTGCCTTTTTGCGCTAGTCTACTTTTATATAGAATTCCGACTGCCAAGGGATCTTTTACGATCACACCAATGTGTACACGGGACTTTGTAATCGCTTTCATGTCAGCTACTCAAATATGTAATTGGTTCAAAAATTGATTGAATATTCAATGAAATATCGCCAATTTTCTGGTTTCGTGCACGTTAAAGATTTGACGTCACTAACATATAAAAATTTAATATCAATTACATATATATTCCATGCTCAAACAACGTCATGCCTTTTATCTCAGGTGCAATATTCTATACTACTGTATGAAACTACTGCAAACACTTAACAAATTGGGCTTGCTTATAAACAGCGCGAGCCGTCGATTTCTGTCTAGATGATTACCGTTATAAGATAATTTAGACAAAGAAGCAACAATATTAATTCAAAGACTAATTATTACACACCGCAATCAACTATTTCTGTTACAGGGTCACTAAACCCATATTTTGGATAGAAGAAAACACTCATAGTTGAAATAATTTCAGTTCAAATATCATCATTGTGAAAGAAAAAAAGCACTCTTCAATAGGCGCTATACGTTGACAAAACGTACAGATTGTATCCCCCCCCCCTTATGTTTCGCTTAACAATGAAAGATGCCGTGTTCAATTTTCGATCCCTTTGTTCTGCTACTCCTGAAATTTGGAACTGTTGTACAATGGTTTTATATATAACACTACTGATAGGCTTCTCTGTAGAAGAAGTTCCAAAAATATTATGTTGACTTTTCGAGAAATACACCTCTAAAAATGCTCCAAATTGTAAAAATACGACGTTTTCGATTTTCAATCTCTTTTTTCGGCTACCCCTGACATTTCAAAAAATGATACAATGGTTTCACACAACAGAGTACCCATTAGTCTCTCGATTGAGAAAGTTTTTAAAAAATCGTTGGCGGCGTTTCCCAGAAACATGCGTCTAAAGTTGCTCGAAATCGCAAAATACCTTACTTTTCAAAGTCACACATCTTTTTTTTTTTTTGATAGAAACTTCTCGCTTAAGTACCATCTTGTAGATAATTCATGTGACTATCAAACAACATTATACTTTAACTACTCGGTAAACATGCAATTGATACATCGCATTTTGCACACAGGCACCCATTATTCAGAATTTTGTCAAATTTTAGATACCCTTTTTGACCACTTCCGGTGATTAGAGCATTTTCATTTATAGTTCATGAACTAGTTTGGACCTTCGACTTCATATTCTATAAATTTTAGAAAAATCGTTGCAGCCGTTTTAAAAAAATAAAAACTCTACGATTTGACCAAAATGCGAAAAAAAGTCAAAAATCAAAGTTTACATTTCAGAAAAAAACTTATATTGTTGGAATCGGATTGATGTCAGCTATCCAAAAATATAACTAATTTCAAAATTCCCAAAAATAAAAAATTTAGAAAATTTTGAAAATTTTCAATTTTTCTCCAAAAAAATGAGAGCGACAAAGTTTCTAAATTCCACAGTTTTGAACTGCTTTCTGCTCGGAAATGTCTCCTGCTATCCGAAAATGTACATATCTCAAAAATCGATTGAGAATTAACAGAGTTATGGCCGATTATCAATTTTCGTGCACGTTAAAGATTTGACTCATTTCCACTATGCGCACAAATTTTGAAAGAGCTTTCAAACCTCTATCTCTTATAGTTGCTGAGATCTAGCTTCCCCCAATAAAAAAAAAATAATAATATTAATCTTAGTAATAACAATAGTCTTTCACCGAAGGTGAAAGCCTAACTAGAACTGCGATGCAGTAATGACGGGTTTCACCGGTGCCACGTTACCCTTGAACTTATGTCAGTTCTGGTGCCACGTTACCCTTGAACTTACATCACTTTCAGTACCAATACTAGAACCGATAAACAGGTTTCCACATAAACATTGCAGACGTGTTATAAAATGGACGCAGAATCAATCAAACCAAGGAATATCAATTCCATTAATACATTTGTTACCATGTGTTACATATTTCAAAACAGTGATCCTGACAAAATTTGTTACTAACTTACCGCCAAGTTAGCTGACTTTCTAACAGGAAATTAAAATGCAAAAAAAATCTTAAAATTGTTATTTTCTCGACAAGGGAAGATGCTAGAAACAATTTTTGGACATCTATATATCGTATTGATTCAATCTATATGTCCATTGGAGTCAAATATCATAATGTTAAACGAATGATAAATATAACTCACTTAAAAAAAAATGTTTGTTTTGAAGGCTAAAAATACAGTTTTTTGCAAAAATGACATTACTTCCGGTGATAAGAAAATGTTGAATTAGTTCTATGAAATCATAAATGGCATCACATGGTGAAAATTTTATGAAAATCGAATAATAATTGCCACTTTTATAGACCAAAATGAAATGAAATGAAATGGAGTTTAACGTCCTACTGTTCTGCCCCTAACCTGGGCTAATGAAGACGGGCATACGCCATACAGTGTGCTATGAGGGAAATTTTGCCCGGACAGCGGCACTTTGGCCTACTCTTATATCGAATTCCAACTGCCAAGGGATCTTTTACGTACACGGGACCTCAGTTTTTCGTCCCATCCGAACGACTAGACAGCTGTCCTTGTCAGGCCCTCCGTCCTGCATCACTGACAAGGGGAAACCACGCCGGAAAATCAGAATAAACTTTCTCGGCCAATGCAGGGATCGAACACCCGACCTCCAGGGTAGCGTGCCAGCGTTTTACCCACTTAGCCACGTGATCCCCCTTTTATAGACCAAAACCTTGAAAAGTAACTTGAAGAAAACTGTCTATTTCTCTGCAACCGTACAGGTTAGAAACCATTTTGTGGTATCTGTATGATCGTATGGGTTCATTCTATTTGGGTTCATTTTATTTGTTGATTGGAATTAAATATCATAATTTTAAAAACATTACAAATCAGACTCATTTGAAAAAATATCTGTTTTGAAGGCTAAATGACGTCATTTCCAGTGACAGTGTTAATGTTAAAATGGTTTGACCTATTTAAAATTGGCATTAGGCATCAAATGGTAAAAATAAATTGAAAATCAAATGATAATAGACTCTTTTACAGGCAAAATAATGCCAAAAGTGATGCATACAAAATTGCCTATTTCTCGGCAACTGCTCATATTACAAACTAATTTCGACACAGATTGTCTTTGTATAGATAGATGGTACAAGTTTATGAACATTACATAGAAATATTTTAAATAATGAAAAGCCTGAATGGGTTGTAAATGGCGTAAATTTACGCCCCTTTTCACCTTTAAGTCGAAATGGCACAAACACAAAACCCAAATGAACAAAATTGAGTTTAACATTTTTTGCGCTTGTCATGGGTCATTTTTATACGCCCACATTTTCATGTGGACGTATTATGCCGTCGCCCCTGTCCGTCCGTCCGTCCGTCCACAATTGTTTGTGGACTCTCTACAGGTCACAATTCTTATCCGATTTTGACGAAACTTGAAATATAGGTTTATAACCCAAAGATCTTGGTTCCTTTCGATATTCGCGCATATCGGACCCTAACTTCCTGAATTATGGCCCCTGATTGTACGAAAAATTGCGTTTTTAGCTTGTGGACCCTATAGAGGTCATAATTTTTTATCCGATTTAAAAAAACGTAGAGGTCACAATTTTTATCCGATTTTGTTGAAACTTGAAATATAAGTTTATAACCCAAAGATCTCAGTTCCTTTCGTTGTTCGCGCATATCGGACCATAACTTCGTGAATTATGGCCCCTGATTGTACGAAAAATCGCGTTTTTAGCTTGTGGACCCTATAGAGGTCATTATTTTTATCCGATTTAAAAAACCGTATTATGATATCACCGTTACACCCTAAGGAAGGTTGAGTTCGAATTTCGTGAAAATCGGCCCAAAATTGACAGACAAAATGGCCGCCATTTCTTCTCAAATAGCGTAAAAATATGGTATATCAAGGTTGTGGACCCTATAGAGGTCACAATTTTTATCCGATTTTGTTGAAACTTGAAATGTAAGTTTATAACACAA